ACAACAATCATACTCAACAATTTTGATTCTTCTGAGTATTTGATCATCCTTTCATATTTGTGAGTACTTTAATTTATGTTCATGTTGGTAATTAAATTTATTTATCCTTTTTAGGGATTTAGGGTTTAAAACTAGCACTCAATGTGTGTATTTATTTATGTGAGATGAAATTTGAGATGCAAAATTATTATTTCTAAAGTTCTGTAAAATAAACAATATATATTGCAGTGGTGATCAATCCGATGTATTAGATGGAGATTTCATTAATCCCTAAAGATAATTTATTTTGACAACTTATATTGAAGAAATGGCATATTATCATGTGCATTTGAATTTCATTTCGTTTTCTTGAGCTACAAACAAAAAGGTGAGATTCCATAATTTCTAAAACTTTGTCGAATTCCAACTTCCAAGAATGACCCAAGCATTTGCAATATAGATGTAATTGTAGGCTTTATTATTATTTTTATTTCATTTTGCATAGTTTATATCATCCTTTAATTCATGAATCATATATAGGCTTATATTATTTTTTAAATATTAATTTTATTGTTTATTTTTATTTTTAGGATATGTCAAAGTCATCAAGAATAGACTCGTTTTTCAAGAGAAAACGTGATCAGATTGAGGAAGATAATGTGGGACCATCAACGGTTGAGAAAGTTGTTAATCACATTAAAAAATCACACACAATTGTTCTGAACAAGTTGCAAAAAATAGATTACGGCTTGAAGCTTCAATTGTTTCTGTCCGGTATCTTGCAAGTCAAGGTTTGGCTTTTAGAGGTTATGATGAAAGAAAAGAGTCTCTTAATCGTGGAAATTTTCTTGAATTTTTGAGTGAAATGTCTAAGCTTAATGAAAATATTGCAAATGTCGTATTAGACAAAGCACATAAAAATGCCTCTTATACATCCCCATCTGTCCAAAAGGACATTTTACTTGTTATCTCAATGATGATCAAGAAAGTGATTCGTGAAGAAATTGGGGACGCAAAGTTTTGCATTATTGTTGATGAGGCCAGAGATCAATCGAAAAGGGAGCAAATGGGTATCGTCTTGAGATTTGTTGATATTTGTGGTTTTGTTCGGGAGCACTTCTTTGATCTTGTACATGTGTGTGATACGAAGGCGATAACTCTGAAAGATGCAATATTTTCCACCCTTTCTCGTCACAATCTTGACATTCAAAATATTCGGGGTCAAGGATATGACGGGGCCAGTAATATGCGTGGTGAATTCAACGGGTTACAAGCACTAATTGCTAAAGAATGCCCGTATGCATATTATGTGCATTGTTTAGCTCACCGGTTGCAATTGGCGTTGGTTGGAACATCTAGAGAAGTTATACCCGTCCACCATTTTTTTACCAAGTTAAATTTCATCATAAATGTGGTGGGTTCTTCTTGTAAACGTGTCGATGAATTAAAAGCGGCGCAAGCTTCTGATATTGCTTACTTGATTTCTATTGATGAGCTTGAGAAAGGGTCTGGACAAAATCAAATTGGCAGTTTACAACGAGCAGGAGATACACGGTGGGGTTCGCACTTGTAGTCGATTTCTAGCTTGTTGAAGATGTTTAGTGCAGCTTGCTCGGTTTTGTTGTGCATCATTGATGAGGGAAATTGTGATCAACGAGCCGATGCAGATTCGGCTTACATTTCTTTGACCTCTTTCGAGTTCGTCTTCATCTTGCATCTTATGAAAGAAATAGTAGAAATAACTGATACGCTTTGTCAAGCTCTCCAACAGAAATCTCAAGATATTCTGAATGCTATGCATCTTGTTGGCACTACAAAGAGTCTAATCCAAAAACTGAGAGATGATGGATATGACACTCTTTTTGGCAAGGTAAAGTCTTTTTGTGAAAGTCGTGCGATAGATATTCCCGATGTTAATGATTTATATGTAGAAAGAGGAGGACGATCTCGGAACAAGAAAAATCTATTTACAGTTGGTGATTATTACCGTATTAATATATTTACGGTTACAATAGATTGTCAACTGCAAGAGCTAAACAACAGATTTAGTGAGCATGCCGTGAAGTTACTTGTTCTTAGCTCGATGTTTGATCCTCGCAACTCTCGATTGTCTTTTGACATAGACAACGCTTGCCTTCTTGTCAATGAATTTTATCCCAGAGACTTCACGGATTATGAAAGAGATTTGCTGCAAGTTCAATTGGGACATTATGAGATTGATGTTCTCAAGCATTCAGAATTTCAAAATCTGTGCACTATCTCTGATTTGTGCCAATGGATGGCGAAAAGTAGAAAATCCTTGATATATCCGTTGATTGATAGATTAATAAGGTTGATTCTTACTCTTCCTGTGTCTACGGCGACCACAGAGCGTGCATTTTCGGCAATGACTATTGTCAAATCCAAACTTCGAAGTAAAATGGAAGATGATTTTCTTGTAAATTTTTTGACTATCTTTGTTGAAAGGGAAATTGCAAGATCTATTACTACCGTGTCAATAATCGATGGATTTCGTGACTTGAGAGAACGTCGAGCACAATTCTAATAG